TTTTTCTGTAAGTAAAAATCAATATTTTTGATAGATTCAGCTTCAGAATGCATCAGAGTATGCGGATATTAAAAAAAAAAAATTTAGTTCTAAAAGTCACCGCTAGATGGCGAATTGGCGCTGTTTATTCTCGCTTGCAGAAATAAATTTCCAGAGTATATAAGTAAAGACTTAAAATATATGGTTTAAAAGGAAAATTAGTGTGCTGTATACTATATACATATTCTATTGAAATTGACAATTAGTGACGATCATGTATTACAGTTACGGTGTATGCGTAACAAGGGAAACGTGACGTTACAACAAAAGAGCCGCCGGATAAAGCGAATTCATGGTTTCCTGCGAATATCGATAATGTCCGTCATAACAATTAACTTGATCTGCGTACTCTATCGGATTTTGTGATAACAGATAATTGATAATTGATAATTAATTATTAATAATTGACTCATTATCACTTTACCTATTGTTTTGATCATTAATGTAAATGAAAGGACAATTTCAATAGTAATTTATATTTTTAATCTGATAAATTGAAGTAGCAATAGCTTGCATAAATTGCAATAGCTTTCAATTAATCTTGTTAAAAAAATTAATGTTACTTGTGTGAAGAAAGTGTTTTTTTTATAAATATTTAATTTAGATATCGGCTTAAGAGGGACAAGCGCCGGAAATTAAAAATCGAATAATAATACCTTATAAATGGGGAAAAAATGAGACAAGATGCCTCACGAAATGGTAATATAAATTGAGTACGTGTTCTGCTTGCGGAATTCATTAAAATCAATTGCAAGCTTCTTAAACTTGGTTACAGAAAATTTAACAAATTTCTCATTTAAAAACATTTCCTTTAGTATAATCTTATTTTAACTTTTATACTTTAAAGAAATAAATCAAATCATGATTATTTAAATTTTTTCCTTTTAAAATTATCAATTTGCTCTTATAGAATTTAAAATTTTCTAGATATTATCATTAATATTGCATAGAACTATCCAAAAGACCCCCAAAAAATTTAGTTCTAAAATTCACCGCTAGGTGGCCAAATGGCGCTGTTCTTTCTCACTTGCAGAAATAAATCTCCAGGGTATATATTAATAAACTCGAATTTTTTCTTCAAAAGATGATTTTTCTAAGCTTGCTAGTTCATAAAATCATCACTAGATGGAGAAATGGCGCTTTTTTTCTCGCTAGTAGAAATAAATTTCCAGAATAAAGCTTAGAATAGAATTTTGGTAGAAATTCTCAGCAATGAGGTGAAATTTAAGTCCCCTGTCTCTTCAAAGATGCTCGTTTGTCTCGGAAGCTTGTCCGTAATCCCCGAAGTTGGACAATCACTTTGATGTTCAGCTTAAAAGTCACCCCTCGTACCAAACGTCTTCGTTATTTTCACTTTATAAGACGGCGCTGTAAAATCGGAAGAGAGAGAGCTTATACACAGAGACTTAAACAGCTGAAGAATAATTTAATCGGTTACTTACCAGTTAACAGAGTATAAAATTGTATAAGAGCGTCATAACATTTATACTAATAGATGGTAAACACTTAAGCTGTGTGAGACTGAAATAGTTAGTGATAAAATAAAGTTAAGAGGCTCACGTCTCACGTCTCTGTGATTCCGACGTTTTCTAGTGTCTGTCCTTAAGCTTCTATCCTAAAAGGCATCACTGCAACTGGCAAGTGGCAAAGCTTCTTATCATTCTGATAACTATTAAATTCATTTTTTATTAAAAACATTTCATAAATTTATAGTTTACACTTCAGGAGGAAAACAATCCATACGACTGAAAATTATCATATGTTGTTTTAATACCACGCTGTTGGAGTATTAATTTCACAAATATCAAATGTTTACTTGGAAAATAGTTCACTTACACTGAGTAACAGCGCTTTTCAACAAAATTAAAATAATAGTATGAATTTTTTCAGATTTACGTCACTTTTCTTTATTCCCACCCGATTATTGACTAAACTACTTAAAGGATTATCTTCAAAATAGTTTTTTATGAAAGCTAGAACCTCAAAGAACCCCTAGAGAGAAAAAACGTGTTAGTTCCAAAAGTCACCGCTAGGTGGCCAGGTGGCGCTGTTCCTTCTCGCATGTGATAGTGTATTTCTAAGATATTTAAGTTAAAAATGAACTTTTGAGGTATATTGTAATAAATTTAGGTTCTAGCTTTGCATCTTAGAATGTTTTGTAATTTTATCGTCAAATATTGACGATTAAATAATAATTAATGTATACAAATGTTCAATAAAATAGAAACAGAGTAGAGTTCAATTAACAGTTCACGATCAAAGTAAATATTATGTATAATATTAAAATTATCATATTGCTGTTGACGAAATTACTGTCCGATGGACATATACATGGGAAATAATCTAACTAGTATAAATATGTTTAGATGAATTTTCCGATAATTATTAAAACCGCCGTCAGTTATGTTTTACACCGGTATAACTGACTAGTTTAAATTAAAATCACGAAATAAATGCCCGGGTAATTAGTGTCACTCAACTCAAAGTGTCAAGTTAAATATTTCGAATAAATAAAAAATATTTATTCATCAATTTATTATTAAATTATATAAAATATAGTTTTAAAGAAAAATAAAAAAAAAACGAAAAAAAAATTTTTATAAAATTGAATTCAATTGTGGCATTACATTGGTCGCACGTATTTTCTCTAAGGATAACAAATAAGGGATGTACGTATATTGACTTGAGGAAAAGGCGACACGAAAAAAAAAGAACTAAAGCTGGAAAAGTGAGAAAAAGGTTCCGTAGAGTGAGATTCGATGTGAGAAAGAGAGAAGATACGTTCTATTCACGTATATTCAATGTTCGGTACGCCGCGAGGCACACCACAATAGGATTACCAACTGGTGAAGAGCTCGGATTCGTCGGAACTGTATTATACTTTCTGTTGGGCAAAAAAAACCCTGTTCTTATAACTAAAAATATTTACTACTACAATAGAACTTGATTTTAAATTGAAATTACTTTTAGATTGTAGATAAATAAGTTTTTGTTTATTAAAAATTGATTTTTTTTGAGGTATTCTGCTTAAGGACACTTTAAAGTACCCTAAAATACAAAGAAGTGTTTAGTTCCCAAAGTCACCGCTAGGCAGCAAAGTGGCGCTGTTCTCTCTCGCTTGTAGAAATAAATTTCCAGAATATATATTAACATTTTTTTAGTCAAAATTACAATCTATGTTATTAATGACATAAAAAAAATTCTTAATTAAAAATTGGGACATTTATTATCAAAAGTACTAATTCAAAGTTTTAAATTAATAAATTTTGTTGTAAAATAGTCGTAGATACTTTGAAGTATCGAAAAATAATTTAAAAAATTTTAGTTCTAAAAATCACCACTAGGTGAAAAAGTGGCGCTGTTCTCTCTCGATTGTAGAAATAAATTTCCCGAGTATTTAAGAATTAATCCAGTTTCTTATCTCATGATTTATTCTTTGGACATGAAATAAATATATAAATATATATCCCAGAAAAAAATAAAAACAATGCAAGCATAAACATAATAAATAACTTGACGTCAGCAGGAAGCATAACTTATGATTATTATGTATACATATAAGGGATAAAATACGTCAAAGGCAAACTTCCGGATCGTCATGGGTTTAGTTATAAACCGAGACTTATCCAAGCGTCATCTTCATCCTTTAATTCTCTTAATTCTCATTTTTTTTATTCAAACAGATTCCGGGGTTGCAACAACAATACACAGAAATTTTTTTTTTTTTTTATAAAATAACCAAATCAATAACACGCGGTCGTTAAATCACTAACCTTTTCCAGCATTGTTTAAACACCTTGCATTATTATTCGAATGACAATTGGCGTATTGACGAAACTGGATTACCCGCCCTCATTTACGTGAAAAGTACTTCACTTTTCCCCCCACTCTTTTAACCGAAACTGGGCTTTATTCGGTAAAACTACCTCACTTCCTTTTCCCAGTGCGTACTACTTCACATTATTCATTGTATATATACACCGGCAATGTTATTCCATTATCAAGCTTCGTGCTTGATAATTACGCTGTTAATCGTCAGAGATACCCCAGATACCCCAGCTCTATTATTTATTTATTCATAATATCATAATACTATCCCTTTAATTATCATTTTATTATTATTACTTTTTACGAGTGTTTTTTTTTTTGGGTTATAAAAAAGTTATTAATTATTAATTATACTTTTATTTTACATATAAATAATTTTATGTAATTAAACACTTAAATAACTGTTTTAACATCATTAAAAGCTTTAAACAAAATCTTATACTTTTCCTATTAAATACTCGAGAAATCAGTTTCTGCAAACGAGAGAAAAAGCGCCAGTTGGTCACCTAGCGGCAACATTAAAAACTAACCCGCTAATTTGATTTTCTGTGCTAAATATCGGGTTTCTACTATAAACCTAGGAAATTTATTTCTGCAAGCGAAAGAGAACAGCGCCACCTTTTCACCTAGCGGTGACTTTATGAACTAAACACTTTTTTTTTTATTTTTAGGTACTTTGAGTGTTCTAAAGTTAAATTTTGTACTGAAATTTACAAAATGATAGAATTTAGTAGAAAAATTGATTCATAATATGAATTATTGTAGATTTTATAAAAAAATTTTTGAAATACTATGATAGAAAAGGATTTTGAATACCGATTGTAATCTCAAACCCGAACGGCATCTTTTTTCCGGAATACTTTTACCGAAGTTCCTCCCACTTCCTTTTTCCGTTGGCAAACAAGACAAGACACTAGTATAAAAAGCCTTAAAAATAAGGGAATATGAAATAAGGTAAAAGTCGAGGTTGTCAAACAGTTTCCTGGGATCTTACTCTATGACACTGAGTGTAAAACTCACATACTGATTCAATCGTCGTCTGTAACAACTAAAAAGGCTTTTTGCCAATGTTATGCGTGACACTAATGCACTCTGCATTTCAAATGACCTTTTTTTACCCCCTTAAAGACGTCATGTTCGGCATAGTATTAACAAAATTATCCTGTCCGACATCTTTAGGTTGCATAATTGATAACCCAGCAAGTAAATCCCGATAGCTAATGCTTAGCCGATGTAACCATCAATGTTTCAGTCGTTGTCCAGGTGACAATTAAGATTTAATGGCTCACTCGGGTAAAATCGTCGAATCAATACCTTGATTATCAATTATTCCGTATTTTCTTGAATTACTGCTATCACAGACAGCATTTTACAATATTTACATACCTTCATCCTAAGTCTCTGCTAGCGAGAGAGAATAGCGCCACTTTTTCTCCTAGCGGTGATTTTTGGAACTAAAATTCAAAAAATTGTATTAATGAAGTCTTGACCTACTAAATATTAATTTTTATGATTAAATTTAATTACAGTGTATTTATTTTATGATTACAGGCCTGTTTAGAACGTCCGGTCAACTACTGCCAGGTACAATGTGCGATCATCAGTTTATAAGCTCACAAATCACAAAACAACATGGAAGATTTTACTCACCTCATTATCCGTCATCATATCCAAAAAATTGTCGCTGTACATATTTATTCCGTGCGAGGTTAAAGGAACGTGTTCGGGTTGTTTTTGAAGAAATTTCACTGCAAAAAGGCGATCTGAGGTGAGTCATTTTCAAAATAAGATAATATATACTCTGGAAAAATGTTCCTACTAGCGAGACAAATTAGCGCCAATGCGGCGCCTATCGGTGACTTTTAGAACTAAAAATTTTTTTTCTGTGTTTTTGAAAGATTTGATGGTTCCTTAACAATAATAAAAGATCAAAATTGTAATTAGTAAATTTTGTAATGATATATAAGGGGAAATAAGAGAAGTATCTGATCTTATTAAGTAAAATCGTCTTAGGTGAAAATACTAACTTATTTTTAAAGTAACTAAACTAGGTTAGTGACAGAAATAATAATGAAAAGTATTGATCATATGACAATAATAGGACGGGGTCGATAATAAAATTTCATTTAAATTTAGAGTCTAGTGAGCGGTAAATGGCAGATTGTAGTAGATTCAAGATTGCTTGTATGAATAAAAATTTATAAGAATTGAACTTTCTTATCTCTCTAGGATATATATGATTGAATAGAAATAAAGCTGAGACACTTCCAAGCGTATTCAATTAATACCCGGTATTACGGATGAGGACAAAATAAAAAAACTGAAGCGGAGAAAAAGTTTACGGTGAATTAGAGAGGAAAAAATTGTGATTGTCGCGAGTCTATTTTTTGTCAGGTTATTCTTATACTGCTAGAGCACTTGTAGATTTAATTACAAGTAAATTTGATCAAATAATTCAAAGTCCAACTTAAATATCCTGAAATTTATTTACCCTTGTTGACTTATTCCGTGATTTTTCAAGCAAATTTGTTCACTTTAGCGTAAAAATTGACAATATTTATCGGAAAAATCGTTACGGGTCTTCAATTTAGAGTTTTTTCTGCTCCAATACTTAAATTAGCCTTAGATACGTCTTTGCTAATGAGAAAAATCAGCTCCAATTGGCCACCTAGCGGTGAATTTTGAAACTAAATTTTAATTTATTATTTTAGCATACTCTGACGATTGCTCAAGCTAAATTCATCAGAAATGTTGATATTTACTCACAGAAAAAAATATTTAAAAAAAATCTAGCTTTAAATAAAAATTTTCTGGGTTAAATATAAAGAATAATCGCTCTTAAAAGATCATTAATCATTTCTTGAAGGCCGAATTCAAGTTTTCTATTAAATACTCCGGAAATTTATTTCTGCAAGCGAGAAGAAACAGCGCCACTTGGCCACCTAGCGGTGACTTTTAGAACCAAATTAAAAAAAATTGTTTTATGACTATTTGAAGGCTTCTGGAGCTAAAATTAACATAATTCATAGGTCCTGAAACTTTCGAGCAATAAAAATGATTTGTATCGATTGAATTAGAGCTTAAAACCGACTCCAGCAATAAACGAAGCACTCTCTGTCAACTTAAGGAGATTCAATGGGGAAAAGTGAAATAACATAACTTGAATCATATAAAATTTCCATTTTCCAAAGCCATTATTATTATTATTATTATTATTATTATTATTATTATTATTATTATTATTATTATTATTATTATTATTATTATTAAATAATAATAAAATATACATAGTCAAATTTAGCCGGGTACAGAATTAAAGGGACAACTAATGGAAGTAGGTATAAGTATTCTGGTTTTCATGAATAATATTCTCGAAAAATATGACAGTCGACGTCTCATTTCGGATTATTCATTTTGTAACCCCAGTCTCTCTCTCTTTATCCTCGACATTTCATATATTTATTCTTCAGAGTCGTTATAGTGGATAAACAACCTCGAAATTGACTTAATGTCATTACGAGAACTCTCGTCGTTTTCAATGAGAAAATTATGAGGTAAACTCCTCTGATGACTGTATAAAGAAAAATCCAGTAGATTGCTATCAAGTCTTTCTAATTTTAAGCTCTATTTAAGCTTCGTATCAATATTTTTGTCAATTTGAGCCTTTTCTACATTATCTATACTTACAAAAACATTATATTACCTCAAAAAGTGTTAAAATATCATTAATAAGCCTTTTTTAGTCTCTTCAAGTGAGATTAAAAGCGACTGATAGCCACCTAGTGGTGATTTTTACCACTAACCTATCTCGGAATCTTAAAATTGTCCTTTAAAGATTGATAATCAATTTTTTAAGGAAAATTTGAATTGATTTACATATAATGTGGAAATTTATTTCTGCAAGCAAGAGAAAACAGCGCCACTTTGCCACCTAGCGGTGACTTTAAGAACTAAAGTCAAAAACTTCTCAAATCTTGTCTAGATTTTTTCCAAATCATTTTTTAAACTAATTTTTTGTATTTTTTAAGTAAATTACCCAAAAATATGACTTAAAACCGTATAAAAATACGATCTCATCACACGCGAGTGACTTTTCGATTTACTTAGGATCCATCCACTTTACGAGCACTTGTAACTTAAAAACCCAAAAGTTTGTATCGAGAAAGTACAAAGCCATGAATCCTAGAGTGAACTACAATTTTATTGCTACTAAATATGTCCGCTAGTAAACTTTGGGGATAAATTTTCTATGATCAAACTCCCCTTTTTTATGATACCAGTCTTTCAATTATCATAATCACAATAGCGTAGCATAAATATAGAGTTAAATCGTCCATATCTATAAACTAGAATTTTTGCAATCGATGAAAGATGACGTTTCTCCGTCACTACTCGATCCATCTTCCGAATTGATTTCTTTTTTTTTTTTCTATTTTTCCGATCTTTGAACTGCATCGTGGACTTTTCCTTTATAAAAGTTTACTAACCACTTCATCTCTCATCGTTACACTTACCAGCTCAGTGAGGCAGCCAAGTGCTCACTTGGGTTTCAATATGTGTCACTTGAGAAAAATTTCCTCCTATTGTTCGCGATAATTCATCAAATAATTTCTTTTTTTTTTTTAATTAAAATCCCAAAACCTCTTACAATACAATTTACCAACTTTGACTTAATATTCTAATTAAACCCATCAAAAAATAAAAAAATCATATTTTCCGACCAAAAAATTGCGAATCAATATTCTTTGTCTCTAACTCTTTCCTCACAATCCCCTTTCAAAATTCAACCCCTCAGATTGATAAAAACCTGATAATTCACCCGTTCAATAATTAAATTTCCAGTTGCTTGAACAAAGCCGACTTGATCAGAATTCACGACGGTACCCACTCTCAAGCGCCGACAATAGCTGTCCTTTGCAACGAAGCCACGGAAATAGAAGTCCTGAGCACCGGGCCGAACCTTTACATCGAGTTCGTCGCTAATTCTGAGTGGCCTGGTCAAGGTTTCAAAGCTGCGTTCCAGTTTCAGCCGATCGACGATATCAATACAGGTTAGTAATCATCTATTTATCTTATCATCGTAACATCCTTTGAATTCACTTTTACTTGGCTAGATTCCTTCCTAGATACCCCAAGAAGCCATTCTATTAATCAAATATCCAATTTATTGACTCATAGGTTATGGGCCCAGGCCCTGAAACCACAAAATCCCGTTTTTTTCTTTTCAATTTTTTTTGGTACCTTTTTAATCATCAAAATTATCAAAATAAATCAATTCTAATACATCCTATCACTAAATTAAGACCTACTATTTAAATTCTTCAAATAAAAATATATTACACTAAGTTAAATTAAAATAATTATTAAAATTGTATTAAACTTTGATATTAAAAAACTCGAGTTGAAAAAAAGGAAACTACATGTTCTTAAACAGATAATAGAATATTAATAATACCTTTGATGATACTAGAACAATCTAACTTACCATTTCTTGAATTCTGGGTACCTATAATACCTTCAAGGTCAATTGATAAAGCAGGAATCTTGCAATTGAAACCTACTTTATCTGTAGATAAAAGCAACAACTGCTCTATCGACGGTAGCTATCAATCTGCTGTAGCAATGGTAGATTCCGAACCTTATCATAATAAATCAAAGGCACTTTCTGCTTTATCATCTGATTTCTGGTTATCTTGAAACTTATGAAGGCAAAGAAGGTTTTCAAGGTACTATTCTACCAAATTGCAAGATCAATAAGTTTTTAGAGAAAGGATTAAAAAGTGGTAGGAGTAAGGGAACTGGGGAGGTGTAACAGTTTGTACATCATCCTCCTTTACATTGGTAGCCGTCCCTGCTGCAATTAACGGCACTATATATTCAACAGCATAATTACAATAATGTGTTGCAGAGGCAGACAAGACTGTCCCAGGAGTCGTAACATCCAACCCCAGGTACTCGGTCATCGGACCTGCTGTCAGTGCTACCAGTAAGTATCACATTAATTAATTCGATCTGTTAGGAGTTAAGGAGGACATTTTTTCGATGGAATAGGAAATATTGTAGGTGGTTGAAGAGGAAAATAACGGATCTTCGGAAAACCGAATTTAGATTACCGGATTTGGATTTGCATAGATATAAACTATTTTACCTTTTATAGGGAATTGCAATCTGGTACGCGGGATTCCAATCAACGGATTTCCGATAATCGTGCTGGATGATGATGATTGAGGGGTTGAGGTTGACTTTTTGATCATGGTTAGATCAAAAATATAAGAATTAAATAACTTTAATACTACTTATACTTATAATTATTCAAAAATATATAATAACTAAACTAAACAATATTTTGCTGGCAAATTTAATCTGCGGCTTCCTTTATGATATCCCAAGAGATTAAAAAAAAAAATTCAGCACAAAAATATATTTTTCAAGAAGTCATAGTGTTTGTACCTGTAGAAAATTTGATAAATCCTCACCAAAAGGCATTATACCACTTTTTTATGCAAAAATATCAATTTTGAACTATGTTATGTGGTCTTACCTTGTAGAATCATCAATTATCATTGATAATTTCGACCTAGATTCATTGAAACAGTGGATCTAACCTAATTAGCGGTTGGTTGTTGCTTTTCTACAATGCAGTGTATAATTGACATCCATCATTGGCATCTAGCAGCCTTTGATGCTATCCGCTTTGCAAGCTCAATGTTAACTGTCGCATTGGGACTATCACCGGAAGCTGAAGGTTGTAAAGCTCTGGATGAAAATCCGGAAATGATCCCAAGTCCTTCCAGGATTAGATGAATGTATCATCACTGGATTGTTTGAGTTATCCAGTTGGTTGATTTAGAATCTTCATTAAGATGTTGGTTTTCCATCTGGAATCCAGAATTGGGTCCACAATCTTGAAGATAGCTTGGGTATCCAAGTATCCATCATAATTATCAATCAAGATGTAAAATTTTAGAATGTCCAGCAAAGTTAAGACAATCCGTTAATGTCAATCATTTAGGACAGATGTCACTCCTCCATCTCTGTCTGTATCCTGTATCCTGCTTGCAGTAATATTCCCAGTTGTATCAGCAAGGATACAGTGTATAACGTGTCATAGCCCTTGGTGTACCGCAACGTCGCGCACAATGAAGCTTGAGCTATAAACCTAGATCCACCTGAGACCACCATCCTCTCTGTGGCTCTCTCTATGTTCTCTTCATATGTCATACATTATTCTATAGATCCAATGGATGGAAAGGGAAAGGGATACATTAGGTCTCGTGTGTTTTGAAAATTAATAAATGCACTTACTTTCTAGTTTAAGTTGCAGCCAAAACATTATTATCCGCCAAATATTCATAAATTTTATTTTTCTAGATAAAAAGTCAGAGAATTCGTTGGCACTGTCACTTATGCAAACATTTCAATCGATAAATTCTTGTCTTTCGCTTGGGAAAATTCAATCGGATTCTACCTTTGACTTGTAAGTGTTGAATGGCTTTTCTAGGGAGGATTGTTCCTCGAATTGAGACTTTCAAGCGCAAAAATTGATATAAAAAGGAAATTTGTTTCTGTAAGCAAAAAAAAAATGCGCCAATTAGCCACCTAGCGGTGATTATAAGAAATTATAATTAAAATTGTATTTTTTCGGCTTAATATAAAAATAATTGCATTAATTTTTTCCTAAAGCCAAATTTAAGTTTGACTATTAAATACCCTGGAAATTTATTTCTGAAAGCGAGAGAAAACAGCGCCACTTGGCCACCTAGCGGTGACTTTTAGAACTAAATTATATTTGTTCATTTTAGCATACTCTCACGCATTCTGAAGCTAAATTTATCAAAAATATTGATTTTTACTGACAGAAAAAAATATTAAAAAATAATCTAGCTATAAATTAAAATTTTCTGGGTTAAATATAAAAAATAATCACTCCTAAAAGATCATTAATCATTTCCTAGAGGCCAAAATTAAGTTTGTGTATTAAATACCCTGGAAATTAATTTCTGCAAGCGAGAAGAAACCTGCGCCACTTGGCCACCTAGCGGTGACTTTTGGAACTAAATTTTATTTTTTATTTTGGGGTAATTCAGAGGCTTAGATTGTTTTTTTTATGGATTTTAGAGTCTCTGTATCAGATTATTACATAAGATCAGTAGTTATATATATACAACATCGTCAGGACGTCAATTACGACCCGACAATCTCTCAGGGATTTATAAAAGAACGGGTTGGGTTTCCAGCTCTAGGACTGACACTACCTTCCGCAGTTAGAGATAGAGTTGCTGGGTTTTTACTGTGAAATGAGATAACCCCAGATAGGATGAGAAGAAAAAGAGAGACGGATAGAGATGTAGAGAGATCAACGAGTGTCGTGGTTAGGATTCACTGACTCGTTTCATGGTCTCTCGGTGCTTCGAATTGATGTCGGGTTTAACCTGCTAAATAATAATAATAATAATAATAATAATAATAATAATAATAATAATAATAACTCTAAGAAGCCGTAAGGCCTTTATAGATGACCCTTATACTATTTTTTAATAAAAATATTGAAATATAGAGTTTCGACTAATGGAGATTTTTTGATGGACTTATTTGTTATTCAAAAAGAAAAAACAATTAAAATATATATGATGAGTTGTTTTACAATATTTAATATTTACTCGGAACTTTTTCTATTTATTTCAATTTTCATAACCGACCACAGACTTCAATAAAACTTTGTTAATTTATTTATCTGTAGCTGGGGATTTATGATTAAATGGTGGCTTCTTTCAAAAAATACGATGTAAGCCGTGATAATTTTTTGTGGTGAATTAAAATGGAGATTTTTATCCAGCTCGAGAGTTCGCGGATAAATTTAAGTGGATTGCAGATGTAAATTTAAGTAAAAAAAGTACGGGTGTAATTAAAATTTTAATCTACAGCTAGATTATTTTTTAATATTCTTTTCTGTAAGTAAACATCAATATTTGTGATGGATTAAGCTTGAGAATGCATCAGAGTATGAGAATATTAAGAAATAAAATTTAGTTCTAAAAGTCACCGCTAGGAGGCGAAGTGGCGCTTTTTCTTCTCGCTTGCAGAAATAAATTTCCAGAGTATATAATACCTTAAAAAAAATTTATAAAATCATTATTTTCAACCGACATACAAATATTTATGAGAATTTATAAATAAATAAATGAAATTTACACGCGTATACAATTAATCACTTCTAGAATTAGTTGAAGTGCTGTTGAGAGTGATTTCAAAAGGACCTAGCACTACTTTGATCATCGAAGCACTTGAGAATGATTAAATTCACACATCGGAGCTTTTCGCTTACCTACCGCTACACTAATATCGTCACACTGCTATATTAAGCTACAAGACAGCACCGTCAACCACAATACCCTCCCCACTACCCCTTCCGCTTTTCGGAAAATCAACAAAATTCGCTTACACTTACCGTTATCTCATACGGCTCAATGACAATAATTGGGGCTGTAGAAGCTTACTTTATAAATTTATCTTCCAACAGATGTCACCGATAGTTGGCTCGTAAATTCTTGTACTGCTTCGCTCGTAAATAAATGTTGAAACAGTAAAAGGAGTCACAGAGTGAATAGAGATTTCAAAAAACTAAGTCTACTACTTATTTACTATCTTTTTTTTTCTTGCGGTCCTGGAATTATTTAGCAAAGTGCATCACTTTATTGCTTACGGCTTTGTAATAATGATCTGCACTGCGGGTTTTAACCACTCGACATAACCCGTGTCTATTTTCTGTTGTGATTGTCAACGGCTCAATTTTGATGAATTAACAGGTTATGGGCGCAGACTTTTTTCCCGAAACCTCTAATTTACCATTGAAAATCAATTCCGGAAGACTCAAATCAATCTATGGATTAGTTTTTGATTTAAAGTCATTGCAAAATCAACCCTTTAACAGGTTATGGGCCCTATAATCTTAAAATTGTAACTTTTGGGTTAAATATTGAAAATACGAAATCATAAGAGTCCTTCTAAATAGGACTTGTAATTCTTTATTGAAAAGGTCATCAATTTTTCCGTATATTAATTATTTTCAAGCCAGGAAATAAAATAAGTTGACTAACAGGTTATGGGGGCCCATGCATTTTTAAGGTAATTTTAAAAGTCAAATTCTGGGTTAAATATTGGAGATATAAAAAAATTATATTTTTTAGAAATAATTTAAATTTTCTATGATATACCCTGGAAATTTATTTCTGCAAGCGAGAGATAACAGCGCCACTTTGCCACCTAGTGGTGTCTTCGAGAACTAAACACTTTTTTTTGTATTTTTAGGTACTTTTGACTATTCTTAAGCATAATACCACAAAAAAATCAATTTTTAATAAACTGGTCCTTGTCAACTTTTGGATAAAAATTTATTTATTGTAAAAAATGTAGTCAGAAATAATAATTATTTAAACAATCAACTAAAAATCTCAGTAAAAAATAGTTTCCTTTTAGAGAAGACAATTCGCTCGTAACTCGTGATAAAAAGTTTCGGTATGGAAACTTTCTCAGCGATATACCTTAAACAAAAAGTGCAATAATTACTTAAGAATATAAAGGAGCTACTAACTGGATAATTTCTTAACGTAAAAGAAAAAGCATTATTTCAAAATTTTTTAATTTTCACAACTATTAACGGAAAAAACAAGTTTAATAAAAAAAAAAAAAGAAAAAAAAAAATAAAAAGCTTTATTCTAAGATTGATTTATTATAAGTTTTGATTTATTTCTCGCAATCACATGAAAAATACTGGAAAAAGCTCTTCTAAGAGGAAAAAGCATAATGCATCTT